TATGCATCAATGCTCGTTTATATGAGCTAGCAAATGAACTTATGCGTGTTTGGGGTTGAATAGAAATCTGGTTAGGTTTGGGTTAATAAATTTGGGTTTTGACATAACTAATTTGGGTCCAGGTTTCAGTCAATGTTTACAGGTACAGCAAATTTGATATTAGCATTTAGGTTTCATTCTTTTGCAGGTATTTAGCTGGGGTAAGTCAACCAATGGGTAAGTTGACCACAATATCTGCATTCATTTGCCCCTATATTGGGTCTCACAGTAATACAGGATACCTGAGAATATAAGTTACCCGGATACCTGTGAGGTAGGTAAACAACTTACCTGCCCACTTGTTGAAGCCATTAGGCGCTCTCTCTCACCCATGGTTTTTAAAACCGGATTGAACCAGATGGTCGGATCAGAAAAATCGAGGTGATCGGTTTCATTTTACCCCAGAACTGTTATTTTCCCAAAAACCGTTGATTTGGCCATTAAACCATTGATTCGAACAATCAAACTGTTTGAATCATTCAACGGTTTGGTTAGTTTTTATTTTATTTATTTATTTTTTTGTCAGAATAGGCCGTCCATTCAATTTGAACAGTCAGACCGTTCAACTGGGAATCGGACCCTGGCCGGTTCATTGTCTGATTTGGTTTTAAAAACCTTGCTCTCACCTCTCTTTACCTAGGTAATCGGTAGTGTGCAAGAATGATGAAAACTTGCTTACCTGGGTAAATTTTACCTAAGAAATACTTGCCCAAGACACATGTAAACATATTTTTCCTATGTAAGTAAAAACAAATAGTGCCTTACATTAAAAATATTTAGAGGGTGTCTTAGCGGTCGTTTGTAGCACTAAGGTGACGTTTGATAAATCTGAAATCTGAAGTCTGAAAAGTTAAAAAGATATTAAAAATGTCTGGAATTTGAAAAGAGGCATAAATGCTTTTCTACTTTTTAGAGAATCTGAATAGATAATGCTGTTTGTTTTGGATCAATTCTACATCTGAAATTGCTTTGTTTTACTATTTTACCCATGGAACAGGCTATTTTGTATTGTGAATGTAGTTAGCACTATTTCATATAAAATAACTTATCAAAATTCAAAATAATGTCGAAATTATACAAAAAATTAATAAAAAATTATTCACTAATAAAAAATATTAAAATGTAATAAAAATTAAAATAATCAATAAAATTAATAATGAATAAATAAATAATTATTTATTTACTAATAATATTGAAATAACACGAATAAAAATAATAAAATAAATAATAATTACTAAAAATAATTAATAATTATAAATAATACAATAACAATTAATATAAATAATTAATCACTAATAAAAAATAATTAATGTTTAATAAAAAATATTAAGATAATTAACAATTATTACTTAGTAAAATTATTTATAATTAATAATAATTATTATTATTAATACTCAACTGTCGCCACTGCAACTTGCAGTGGCGGTGGCGGGGAGACAGGGGGAGAGAGAGAATCAGAGCGGGCGATTAGAAATAAAAATGCTCAGAATTTGGCTCACGTAGCCACCAACTTTCGACCGACCCTACATTGTCATCTCCTACACCTCTGTATGACTACTTCTAATTAGCAGCACACCGGTAAAGAAGGCTGAAGTTTAAAAAGAAGAGAGTGTGAAGGCAAGTTTAGTCGCTCCAGTCATTCAGAGGCAGCAGAACCGACCTTCACCACTCTGGTAAAGTAGAAAACCATAAGTTCTAAAACTACTCCAGAGATATTTGAGTGAAAGGGAGAGGGGGTGAGCAGGGAGTCTGGCTCGAGATGGAGGTGAGATGGGGGTGAGGAGGGAGAGGAATGAGAGAGAGAGAGAGAGAGAGAGAGAATTGTTGTTGCAAGTTGCAGCGATGGTGGCGGGAAGATGAGAGAGAGAGGGGTAGCATGCATCATTTCCAAAAGATTGGAAAGGTAATTTCGACAATGCATTGGCTCTAAAACGTGCTTGAGCGCATTAAGAGCCAGTCCGCACACTATTGTTTTCAGATCTGAAAACAAAATTCAGATTGATTTTAGACACAATACCAAATGGGTCTAAGGTCTGAAAACTCAAACATTTGAAAATTGCAATCAAATGCCACCTAAATATTCTTCTTAGGGGTCTCTATTTTTTAATTTTTAATCCTACACAAATTGAAAAATGCCTCCCATGTTCCATTTACATATAATGTGCTAAAGTTAATTATTTAATATTAAAATATTTAAATTTAATTAGTGATTTATAATTATTTAGTATTAAATTTAAATAATTTTAATATTACTTAGTTAATTATTTTATTAATTATTCAATCATTTTATTAATTCTTTGTATTTAGGCATCAAAGAAAGAAGAAAAACAAATTTTTAATTTTTTAACTTTCCTTAAAACTTTTTTTGTGCTTTTGAGCAATCACAGTTTTTTTTGAAAAAAGAGAGCAATCAGAGTTTAGTATTATCAAATTGCATCTTAATTAATAATTCAATTTAATTTAAAAATAAATAGTCACATGTCTGAAAATGAAAAGAGAAAGATGTCCTTGTAAGGATTGAGTAAGATAAACACAGGTTAAGCTTGAAGAGAGTGCTGAGTTTAATTACTACAAATTGTAGGATACAGGTTGGCTAAACGTTTGCATCATTTTAAAGAGGGAATGCTATTTTTCAGAGTGGAACTGAAAGAGCCACAAAATGTGAATGTTTGGAAAAATCTTGAACTTTTCATAAGAATGTGGATGAGGATGGCGTGGCTTTGATACCTGCTGTTGAAAGCATGATTTTGAACATTGGATCAAACCGGACGGCCAGACCAGTTGATCTGAGAAACGGTCAAATAACTGCTTCTGTTTCATCCTAAAACCGTTTTTTACCAAAACTGTTAATTTGGTCAATGATCTGTTGACCCAGGTGGTCAAACCATCAATCCAAACAATAGTTCTTGCCCGATTTTATTTTATTTTTTAAGTTAAAATGATCCATCCATTCAAACCAGACAGTTGGACCATTCAACCAGAGAACCAATCCCCAAAACGGTTCCGTCTTCCTTGTCTTGTGCAGTTTTTAAAAACCTTAATTTGAAAGGGGCATTTCCTTGTTTTCTAATATAACAGAGTAATGATACGCACCAATTGAAAAATATTTGACTGCTTTTACAAAAAGAGGAATGCTCCTTATAACACAAACCACTTTTTGCAACAACAACGTTGTAGCACGGTGCAATCAAAGCCTTTCATATATTGCTAGTCTCACCTTGACTTAGATGAAGTGATTTCTTAATGACGCCATTAAAATACATCTAAGGCCATGATTCTCGACTTCAATCCTATACTATGACATTATCATAACAAAAGTGAATTTTTTTTACTATGGATAAAAGATCACATGACCCATGTTTAATTGAACATTAAGGGGGGTGTTTAACGAAATCGTATTTGCTCCTCAGGGCATACTTCATACCAACCTTACAGTACATCACATCCATGAGAGATATTCTCAATTCATGACTGAAAGCGCTGTGAGATTGGTGTGAGGCACATTCTGTAAAGAACAAATTCAGATTTGTGTTCAACATAATGGTTGGTTTTATTTTTACTGATATGCAGTTCTTTTTATTTTCAAAAATAAAATCAACTATGCTGTCAAACACTCTCTAAACTTTCCAGGGTGACTTTAAAATCGACCACTAAGACTATGTTTGGTTTGAAGCAAAAAGTAAGAAAAGGAAGGAAAAAGTATCAAAACCTATACAAGATTTGTTAAGACTTCCTTACCTTTCCTTTCCTTCCCCTACTTTTTCCTTCAAACCAAACATAGCCTAAAGGAACATTTTTGTGTTCACAAGGAGCAATAGTGAAATTGTACAGGCCGACTGTTTGTACAAAAACCTTGGGCCCAGCTTGGGCCACACCCTTGACCCATGTGTGTATAGCCTGATCCAAGGTTTAGAGAATCAGATTAGGCATTGATACAGAAAAGGGAGAGGTTCAACCTGAGTCAAACCGTGATGATGATGATTACTCAATTTCCATCTACGTTAGCTTCTAAAATTCATAAATAATCCAAGATTTACTTTCAATTTATGTTAGTTTCTAAATTTCAAAATCAATCCTATACGTTGATTTCGGCCTTGTTTCATATTATGACTGTTGATTTCACGTTTTTTATGTATAGCATGATGCTTATATATGAGCAAATGAGAATAAGTGGAATGCAAAGTGAGTGAAAGGGCATTGACTTATTAGGAGTGGTGGAAAGAGAGAGGGAGAGAGAATTAAGGAGATAGCAGCATGAGAGGTTTGGAACAAAGAGAGGCCCTCTCACATGAACCACCTTATAATATATATATATATATATATATATATATATATATATATANCCATCAGATTTGAAACAAGTGTCTCATGTTGACCAAGGATCTAACCATTTGGTCATCCAGTCTACATTGGGTCAAATGGATATCCATTGACCCAATAAGASCTGRAATATGGATCCRAATAATCCAACAATATTGGTATCTCCATGCATAAAAATGTTTTCAAATAAACAATCAAATAAATTTGTTTTTATAGAAAATAAGTAAATAGATAATTATTTAAAATGAATGATTGTGTGTGAGAATGTTGCATGGAGATAACCATAAAATAATCATCTCCCATCAATATGTGGCTTGTCACATGGCCATTGGATATTCTAACATGTTGAGGATTAAACGAGGGCCTATGGCCACTCTACCATTAACTGCATCTGGAATGCAGTCTTGACTCTTGAGTCACAAGTGGTTTAACCAATGAACCACATGGATGACCAGGTCCCAATTTTGATAGTTACCGTTCTAGATCGAGCCTATGGGTATCGGTCGAGCTTGGATGCTTGCTTTTTCAATTATTTGATCGGTAGAAGGATAAGTTCAAGATTTGTATTTCTTTTCCAAGTTTCGTACCAGATGACAGTGGTTTAACACAAAAACACTTGAGGCCATGTTGCCAATGAAGTATAAAAGACTCCAATCAATCTGCTATAGATTAATCTGATACAGAGCTTCAATTGTCACTCCAGTATTTGATTTCAAATTAAGGTTAAATCAAATTCCAACTTCAACGCTTCAGCGATCTCCATTCCTAATTGAAAGCCGAAAACTCGGCTTGCAGAGATCCTTGTACCATAGCTCGGCTTGTAGCAAACTTTCCTTTAATTGGCGCACACGATCAACACATTCGAATATTCCCCATTGAATTAAGAGATGCTACAGCAGTACTGAACAGCCCCATCCGTCAATTACAGTTTATTTCTAATCCAGTTCCTTCGGAGGAGGACGCCGTTTAAACGACTCTACAAGAAGTCAATTAATGATGGATTAATTGAAAGTTAATGCACTGCTAAAGCGCTCCTGACTCCAGCAGATGATTTTAGAAAGAGAGCTGAAAGGTTTCTTTCTGAATGAGTATTAATTAAATTTTGATCATTTTGTTATAGTTGGGACAAAGACGTATAATAATGGGTTTCTTGACTACCATATTAAGGGTTTGAGTGCTAGGCAAATAATTGTAAGTATGAGGGAACTTTTTTTACGCCATCTCCAAGGTGGATAAATAATTTTTTACGCCATCTCCAAACTGAACCAAACTAAATTGACCAAATGAATATCCCTAGTTAGGGGCGAGCATGTGCAGGTTCGGTTCAGTTTCATGGCAGAACATGGAACCTACCCTATAGGGGTTGGTTCCAGATTTTTAGAACCAGAACCTACCTTGTGAAAGTTGGTTCCAAGGTCAGTTCTGGCCTTGGTGGTTTTGAGGTTAGTTCCAAGGTCTACCTATGGAACCTATAGTTTAAAATTTTACTATCTTTATTGATTAAATTGAATAAGTTAATATGTAAATTATCATTATATGGTTTAAAATTTATAATTTTATAAATATTATCTTTTACATTACTTATTATATACATTCAAATATTAATATGAAAATAAATGATCAAATCACTTAAAGTAACTCAGTGGTGAAGTGAGACCATGACTTTTATAACCACGAGTGCTTGGATTCAAATCTTTACAATCCCAAAAGTATTCCTGGGTTTATTCTAAAGCAACTTTGGTTGTAAGGCAGGTTCCACCAAGACCAATCAAGGCCGATTCATTGGATTGGTTTGGGTAGAATAAACTCCTAGACCCTGGAACCACCCTAGGAGGAAATCGGTTCCAACAATTTAGAACCAGACCTTACCCTGTAACAGATTGGATAGGATTGGTTTAAGGTCGATTTCTTTTGATTCCGAGTAGAAGCTAACCATGTGCTCACCCCTACCCTAATTATATGTGATGATGAAGAGCCTCTTCCGATCATTTTAGGTAAATAAGGGCCGGTAAATTGATAAACGGGTTTGTTTTGCATTATTTTTACCTGAGAGTATCAATCAGTTTCCCTGGAAATTGATACCTCCAAAAACTTGGATAAATGCCTTACTCATGCCTTCAAAACAGGCGATTGGACTACCCCAGTGTAAAAGGATAAATAAGCAGCTAGCATATGTAAATTCAGGGAATGCAGTTACCAAGTCAAAATTTTACTTGAAAAATTCTTATCTGGATAAGTATATTTACCCGATCGAATAACAAAAAGCAAACGAGACCTACCAAGATAGTCTCCTCTTACTTGGTCACTCCTTGAATGTGAAAAGTCTCCCCAATTTCCTGATCGACCTGCAACTTGCCGATATATATACATAAACACATGCGTGGAATAGTTCAAGTGGAAGGGGTGAATTTAACTATATATCTATATATTTAGTATTATTAATGGATGCATTTTCTTAAAAGAACAAGATAGCTACTTTGAACCGGTTGTCCTTTAAAAAAGAAAAAGAGAAAAAATGAAGGAAAATTGATTGGCTTTCAAGAAAGTACAAAAAAAAAGTCTCCAGATTACTTTCGTGGAAGCATCTCTTTCGGTGGGTGATAAGGCTACCATGAATCGTCGGTCGTTGTCTGCTATGAAAAGAAGCCACTATGAACTTTCGAGGAAGCTTCTGTCTGATCACCAGTTGAAACTTGAAACCACTCTTATGTGATGAAAACAAATGTTGAAACGGTTCATCCTACATTTCGAAGAAAGAGGAGATTTCTGAATCATGGACGGCAACAAGAACCTTCCACCACTTGAGCTGTCTGCTTTTCCGATCCTTCCCTCCTCTCCAGGTATGTCCATTCTTAAGCCTCATGTTTTTTCTCCGTCCCATAAGTGTGCTTTTCGTTGAGATAAAACCTTCTTATTTTATAAGAATCCGATTTGTTCTTTATATTGTTGTTTCATGTTTTGGTTGCAAGCTTTCTTCAAAGTTCAAACTATACCAAGCGCTTAAAACAATTACTTGTAGCTGTAGGTGAGGTGAGCAAATTGTAAAATAGAGAAGTTGCACTTTAAGAGGGTGTGCATCGAATGGATGGGTTTACAACTTTAGATCCATCCATTCGATATGCGTAGTGACCCTACTTCTAATGGTGAAGTTAAGATCGGATGGATTGTTTAGATCAGCCACGTCGTCCCGCCACATGGCATAAATTGATTAAATCGTGTAGGGTTGCTCCTTACTTGAACACCACGCGTAAACGAATCCTGGTTCTCATGATTCGCCAATTATCATTCTTTAGAAGTTTGGAACCACCATTAAATGGAAGCCATATATATGAAGGTTAGCTGGGCCAACAATTAGCTCAAAATACGTCACCAAGTATCATGCTAAACATTTAAATTTCAACGATGGAAAAATAACTCGTGTCCTTAGAAATTAGGGGTTTTTACTATTCGGTCCATCTTAGAAATTTTAGCTTCACCGTACAGGTGGAATGAATTTTGACTATAGATGGACCGAATATGCAGTTTATAGGAGGTTACTAGTAGATTAAGAGGGGATTGTAATTTCAGATTTCTGAGGGAGACTGCAGTCTACTTATCCTTGGAAATTAAAATATCCCATCATCTGCTGATCTTTAATTTGTCGGAGGCACTCTTTTACGAAGAAAACCCTGCAATTACAGGAGTTTTGCCACACTTAGACGCTTCTTTATATATGCATCAATGCTCGTTTATATGAGCTAGCAAATGAACTTATGCGTGTTTGGGGTTGAATAGAAATCTGGTTAGGTTTGGGTTAATAAATTTGGGTTTTGACATAACTAATTTGGGTCCAGGTTTCAGTCAATGTTTACAGGTACAGCAAATTTGATATTAGCATTTAGGTTTCATTCTTTTGCAGGTATTTAGCTGGGGTAAGTCAACCAATGGGTAAGTTGACCACAATATCTGCATTCATTTGCCCCTATATTGGGTCTCACAGTAATACAGGATACCTGAGAATATAAGTTACCCGGATACCTGTGAGGTAGGTAAACAACTTACCTGCCCACTTGTTGAAGCCATTAGGCGCTCTCTCTCACCCATGGTTTTTAAAACCGGATTGAACCAGATGGTCGGATCAGAAAAATCGAGGTGATCGGTTTCATTTTACCCCAGAACTGTTATTTTCCCAAAAACCGTTGATTTGGCCATTAAACCATTGATTCGAACAATCAAACTGTTTGAATCATTCAACGGTTTGGTTAGTTTTTATTTTATTTATTTATTTTTTTGTCAGAATAGGCCGTCCATTCAATTTGAACAGTCAGACCGTTCAACTGGGAATCGGACCCTGGCCGGTTCATTGTCTGATTTGGTTTTAAAAACCTTGCTCTCACCTCTCTTTACCTAGGTAATCGGTAGTGTGCAAGAATGATGAAAACTTGCTTACCTGGGTAAATTTTACCTAAGAAATACTTGCCCAAGACACATGTAAACATATTTTTCCTATGTAAGTAAAAACAAATAGTGCCTTACATTAAAAATATTTAGAGGGTGTCTTAGCGGTCGTTTGTAGCACTAAGGTGACGTTTGATAAATCTGAAATCTGAAGTCTGAAAAGTTAAAAAGATATTAAAAATGTCTGGAATTTGAAAAGAGGCATAAATGCTTTTCTACTTTTTAGAGAATCTGAATAGATAATGCTGTTTGTTTTGGATCAATTCTACATCTGAAATTGCTTTGTTTTACTATTTTACCCATGGAACAGGCTATTTTGTATTGTGAATGTAGTTAGCACTATTTCATATAAAATAACTTATCAAAATTCAAAATAATGTCGAAATTATACAAAAAATTAATAAAAAATTATTCACTAATAAAAAATATTAAAATGTAATAAAAATTAAAATAATCAATAAAATTAATAATGAATAAATAAATAATTATTTATTTACTAATAATATTGAAATAACACGAATAAAAATAATAAAATAAATAATAATTACTAAAAATAATTAATAATTATAAATAATACAATAACAATTAATATAAATAATTAATCACTAATAAAAAATAATTAATGTTTAATAAAAAATATTAAGATAATTAACAATTATTACTTAGTAAAATTATTTATAATTAATAATAATTATTATTATTAATACTCAACTGTCGCCACTGCAACTTGCAGTGGCGGTGGCGGGGAGACAGGGGGAGAGAGAGAATCAGAGCGGGCGATTAGAAATAAAAATGCTCAGAATTTGGCTCACGTAGCCACCAACTTTCGACCGACCCTACATTGTCATCTCCTACACCTCTGTATGACTACTTCTAATTAGCAGCACACCGGTAAAGAAGGCTGAAGTTTAAAAAGAAGAGAGTGTGAAGGCAAGTTTAGTCGCTCCAGTCATTCAGAGGCAGCAGAACCGACCTTCACCACTCTGGTAAAGTAGAAAACCATAAGTTCTAAAACTACTCCAGAGATATTTGAGTGAAAGGGAGAGGGGGTGAGCAGGGAGTCTGGCTCGAGATGGAGGTGAGATGGGGGTGAGGAGGGAGAGGAATGAGAGAGAGAGAGAGAGAGAGAGAGAATTGTTGTTGCAAGTTGCAGCGATGGTGGCGGGAAGATGAGAGAGAGAGGGGTAGCATGCATCATTTCCAAAAGATTGGAAAGGTAATTTCGACAATGCATTGGCTCTAAAACGTGCTTGAGCGCATTAAGAGCCAGTCCGCACACTATTGTTTTCAGATCTGAAAACAAAATTCAGATTGATTTTAGACACAATACCAAATGGGTCTAAGGTCTGAAAACTCAAACATTTGAAAATTGCAATCAAATGCCACCTAAATATTCTTCTTAGGGGTCTCTATTTTTTAATTTTTAATCCTACACAAATTGAAAAATGCCTCCCATGTTCCATTTACATATAATGTGCTAAAGTTAATTATTTAATATTAAAATATTTAAATTTAATTAGTGATTTATAATTATTTAGTATTAAATTTAAATAATTTTAATATTACTTAGTTAATTATTTTATTAATTATTCAATCATTTTATTAATTCTTTGTATTTAGGCATCAAAGAAAGAAGAAAAACAAATTTTTAATTTTTTAACTTTCCTTAAAACTTTTTTTGTGCTTTTGAGCAATCACAGTTTTTTTTGAAAAAAGAGAGCAATCAGAGTTTAGTATTATCAAATTGCATCTTAATTAATAATTCAATTTAATTTAAAAATAAATAGTCACATGTCTGAAAATGAAAAGAGAAAGATGTCCTTGTAAGGATTGAGTAAGATAAACACAGGTTAAGCTTGAAGAGAGTGCTGAGTTTAATTACTACAAATTGTAGGATACAGGTTGGCTAAACGTTTGCATCATTTTAAAGAGGGAATGCTATTTTTCAGAGTGGAACTGAAAGAGCCACAAAATGTGAATGTTTGGAAAAATCTTGAACTTTTCATAAGAATGTGGATGAGGATGGCGTGGCTTTGATACCTGCTGTTGAAAGCATGATTTTGAACATTGGATCAAACCGGACGGCCAGACCAGTTGATCTGAGAAACGGTCAAATAACTGCTTCTGTTTCATCCTAAAACCGTTTTTTACCAAAACTGTTAATTTGGTCAATGATCTGTTGACCCAGGTGGTCAAACCATCAATCCAAACAATAGTTCTTGCCCGATTTTATTTTATTTTTTAAGTTAAAATGATCCATCCATTCAAACCAGACAGTTGGACCATTCAACCAGAGAACCAATCCCCAAAACGGTTCCGTCTTCCTTGTCTTGTGCAGTTTTTAAAAACCTTAATTTGAAAGGGGCATTTCCTTGTTTTCTAATATAACAGAGTAATGATACGCACCAATTGAAAAATATTTGACTGCTTTTACAAAAAGAGGAATGCTCCTTATAACACAAACCACTTTTTGCAACAACAACGTTGTAGCACGGTGCAATCAAAGCCTTTCATATATTGCTAGTCTCACCTTGACTTAGATGAAGTGATTTCTTAATGACGCCATTAAAATACATCTAAGGCCATGATTCTCGACTTCAATCCTATACTATGACATTATCATAACAAAAGTGAATTTTTTTTACTATGGATAAAAGATCACATGACCCATGTTTAATTGAACATTAAGGGGGGTGTTTAACGAAATCGTATTTGCTCCTCAGGGCATACTTCATACCAACCTTACAGTACATCACATCCATGAGAGATATTCTCAATTCATGACTGAAAGCGCTGTGAGATTGGTGTGAGGCACATTCTGTAAAGAACAAATTCAGATTTGTGTTCAACATAATGGTTGGTTTTATTTTTACTGATATGCAGTTCTTTTTATTTTCAAAAATAAAATCAACTATGCTGTCAAACACTCTCTAAACTTTCCAGGGTGACTTTAAAATCGACCACTAAGACTATGTTTGGTTTGAAGCAAAAAGTAAGAAAAGGAAGGAAAAAGTATCAAAACCTATACAAGATTTGTTAAGACTTCCTTACCTTTCCTTTCCTTCCCCTACTTTTTCCTTCAAACCAAACATAGCCTAAAGGAACATTTTTGTGTTCACAAGGAGCAATAGTGAAATTGTACAGGCCGACTGTTTGTACAAAAACCTTGGGCCCAGCTTGGGCCACACCCTTGACCCATGTGTGTATAGCCTGATCCAAGGTTTAGAGAATCAGATTAGGCATTGATACAGAAAAGGGAGAGGTTCAACCTGAGTCAAACCGTGATGATGATGATTACTCAATTTCCATCTACGTTAGCTTCTAAAATTCATAAATAATCCAAGATTTACTTTCAATTTATGTTAGTTTCTAAATTTCAAAATCAATCCTATACGTTGATTTCGGCCTTGTTTCATATTATGACTGTTGATTTCACGTTTTTTATGTATAGCATGATGCTTATATATGAGCAAATGAGAATAAGTGGAATGCAAAGTGAGTGAAAGGGCATTGACTTATTAGGAGTGGTGGAAAGAGAGAGGGAGAGAGAATTAAGGAGATAGCAGCATGAGAGGTTTGGAACAAAGAGAGGCCCTCTCACATGAACCACCTTATAATATATATATATATATATATATATATATATATATATAAAATAAATATTCTGATATCTATCCTAAAAATCTACTTTTTAAAGTCATTTTATGGGTGGACTGAGGATATTTATGAAACAGGGCTTAGCAGAATTACTGACTGCTTACTGTTTACTGGATTCGGAGTTTCTTTTTTTTTTAAATAACTAGCAGCCCAGACAAATCTATTGGGACAGGTGTCAATCATATGCTTATTCAGTGTGTACACTGAGTGTGTCTATCAGATGTGGTATCGTTCAAACCATTACATGGAAACAAAAGAATGTTAAATGATATAAAAAAACGGATACAAAATATGGACGGGGTTCGGAATTAAGGCTATTGCAATGCAAATAAATTTGTATTGATGTAAAATCATGACAGTGCAAATGATTTGAGTGTGAATTCTGATCTACTTTTATTTCAAATTTTAGTTTATTTTGTTTGATTACAGTACAAATAAAATAAATTAAGACATGAAACAGAATAAAGTAAAATCTAAAACAAAATTAAATAAAAATACATTTTTTATATTTGTACTCCCATGCATTTATACTAATGTAAATAAATTTGCACTGCAATCAAACACAGCTATATTTTCATCTTATTAAGAATAATTATGTTATGGAAAGAAAAGCATGGATAGAGATGGGTTGTAGTAAGCCTGTAAATGGATTGGATTGGTGCAATTTTAATCTAAATCCTATAGTGGTCCAATCCAAGATGTTCAATTCCAATCCAATCTAAGGTGCGCAATTATCCAAGTGGTAATAATCCAATCCAATCCAATCAATCCATCGGATTCAGATTGTTAGAATAAATCCAAATTAGATACACAGACACTCAAAAGTTTGTAACTCGCTCATTGTTATCTCTCTCATCAGAATACTTTTCTTTTATCCCATTACATTACAGTGATAAAAGATGCTATTAAATTGTTACTTTGATTAATGCGGACCAATCCAATACGATTTGTTCAAACCATCCGAACAAATTAGTTTTGATTTGAGTCCGGATCGAGCAGCATCCAAATTTAATTGACAACCTTAAGTGATAAGTAGGGATTAGAGATGGATATAAGTCGAGCTTTTATAAGTTATTTGAGTTCAATTCATGAAAATCTCAATTTAGCTTTGGTTTAAATTGAATTTCGAGCCGAATATAAGTTTAATATATAGGTTCATTTGCTAATTGAGTCAAGACCAAGCTTTTACGCACATACACATAGTTTTTAGATAAATTCAAACTTCTGAATTTTTGAGTTGAGTCGAATTCAAACTCAAGTCTTTATCTCAAATCAAATTCAAGCTTTATAGTTTTTAGACGATCCGAACTCGAATAATTAGATATACGGCTTGGCTGAGCTCGAAACCACCCCTAATAGAGACACCAATGGATTGGATTTAGTGATAAACCCATTTGTACCAACCTTAGTAAGGTTTTGGGTAGGACTCAGTTGTCAAACCAACTTGATAAGAGTACCACCATCGTGGAAAGGAGCCTTCTCTCCTTGAAGAGATGATTGCTTCAAATAAGTTAGGGGTGTTCATTCATAGTTCAGCCGAAGCTTGCACATTTCCGGGGAAAGACCAGGTTTTTGTGTTCAGGTCCGGCCTGGAGCACAATATTTATATATTATATATATAATACATTTTGCTTAATTTTTATGATATTACATTTATAAAGATTACAAAATAGCATATAATATGTATACAATATTTTATATTTGTGCACATTATTAAATATATTATATGTATTATAATATAAAACATTATAAATATTAAAATACTACATAGGCTAGACCTGGGCCTGGACTATCTCTCTTATCATGGGTGTTCAACCTGATCCAGCCTATGATCACCTCTAACTTAAGTACTAATTTGATTTTATATTATATAATATTATATATAATGTGTCATTTTATAATATGTACATATATAATATATCATATGATATAAAATTAAGCATATATAAAACATATTTATGTAATATATAAACATGTGCTTTATATAAATCTATATAATTCACATTCCTGGTTGCTTGAGATCCAACCTTATTCCATACCAATACTAGTAGCTTTGCATACTCGTTAAAAAAGTGATTTATTACAAATTAAAGGGATTAAATGAATTAAGAATAGACCCAAAAAAGATTTGGATGAAAATAATAAATAATGATTTAAGCATCTATAATTCAACAACAGGTGTGTCATTAAACAGAACAAAATAGCGAAACAAGATTTATGTAATTTACCTTATAGTTGGGAGTTGGGACAAGGCTTGGATAATGATGGAGATGACTTTGCAGCTTTGGATCCTCACAATGATCCACATTTGAAAAATAAATTCAATCCAATTCTAAAACAGGGATCCATTTAGAGTCTAAGCAGAGTATGGATCCCATATGTTTGGTTTGAAGGAAAAAAGTAGGGAAAGGAAGAGAAATCTATACAAGTTTTGTAAAGGTTTTTCTATCTTTCCCTTCCTTTCCCTACTTTTTCCTTCAAACCAAATACAGTCTTATGGTTTTCTTTAGAGAAAATTTCATATTAGTACTCTATACTTTAGGGATAGTCTCAATTTAGTACCAGAACTTTAAAAAGTGTCATTACAATCCCCAAACTTTCAAAAACTGTCAATTCAGTCCAAAATATAAAAAGACAAAAAAACCCTTTAGTATCATCTAATTTTCTTTATCTACCACTCCCACATAAACTGATTTAAACAAAACTCGTATAGCTAAAAGTTTAGTAAGAGTAAATAAAGAAAGAGATACTGAAATGCAAATAGAAACTCGAAATTTAGTCAGTACTTAAATCCTCTGGCGATTTTCATTCCTCCCCTTGCTGAACAAAATCTACAGCCACCCATAACTTTATCAACGTATTATTGGAGAATTTGAAATTAATGGGGAACAATAGACAGAGGTAGAGATAATACCTCTTTAGATGTCCAAGTAGACTGTCGTAGATCTGATGTGTGTCGAAGGTCCAGAAGCAATAACTAAACAAGTGGGCAAAAAGTCACGCTGGCATCGATCCGAATCATCATCGAATGATGGATTGCATCACTATTTCGCTTCCTAGGAACATAGTCTAGGTAGTTGCTCTAATAACCAAAAACCCTCTCAATTCAAATTTCTTGATAAAGAGAAAAAAACTCTGGTATTACAATTGATGGGTCGATCCAGGGATCAATTTAATTGAATTAAGGACTGAAGTCCATCAGATTTTCTGGTTAGTCATCCACGACGTCCAGTGGCTTGCCCTTTGACGAGTCGGAAGTTTTGTTTGGCCATGTCCATGTCCCTACCGTGCAGTGATAACCTATTCCATCAGCGTTCACGGGTTGCTGAAGGAACACGGGGATGAAAATGATCAATGACTTCTCAGATCTTGATGCATTGCCAATGGACAATTATGATTTATGAAAAAAAGACCCGTTCTGCATATTTCTCCTCTTCCTCTTCTCACTCTGCTTTCTTTGGTTTGTCAATTTTTCAAAGCCATCCATAAGCAGAGTAGACATGGAGTATTGGGAATTCTCTTTTGGGTTAAAGTAGTTGGGAATCAAATGACAATTGAACTAACATTGTAGAACACACAAAGAAATAATAGGTTCTTCTTGCTGGTTGATATGGAAATAGAAAATATATGGATCAGTGGTATACAACTACCTTGAGTTCAATTTGATACAGTTTTTATTCTAGTTCAATTTTAAGGTAAAAGACAATAAACAGTGTTTTTTAAAGATAATTTTAATATTTTAAAAATTTTAAGTCACACGTATCATCACTAAACGAAATTAGAACTTAACCAAGACTACCCCTAAAGTACAAAGTACCAATCTAGAATTTTCCCTTTTCTTTATGTTTCGACCTGAATCCATAAGTAGATCAAATATGGATGCTCGATGGGATCCAATCAGAATATAATCGGCATTTCATAAAAACGAAAATGTAATCCTTTTTTAAAAATCTGTTCCCCCTACTGCCCCGGGAATGTGGATCTGGGTGATTCCAGGTTCATTCTAGATAACGAGCCTTTCAATGCCCTAATCAGAAAGAGACAATGAGATCAATAACTTGCTACCAAAATCATTACTAGAGGCAAAGGCCTTGATTGGGGGGCCATAAGAACTTGTATCCAGACTTGAAAATACAACGACCCGACATTAAAGGCATCCCACAATTCAGATGTCTAATTGATCAAAGGGAGTGGAGTGCGAAAGGAAAAACTAGGGCTGCAAATGAATTAAGGCTGTGTAAATACTAAATATAGTTAGGTGGTAAGCCTGCACTAACCAGTCTAAATTGACCCTATGAGATTATAGTTGGACCGGCTTTAAGCGTGTTTTGGATCAGGTTCAGATTAAGATGAAGCCGTGCTAAAACATATTATTTAAGTTTTGAAATATTTGTGTATATTAATAAACGTGTATGTGCATTTGCACATGACAGTATCTCTAACACAAAACTATTTATATTTATGGACAGTTTTTGAACAGTTATAACTTATAAGTGGGTAGTTTCTGAAGAGTTGAATAGACAGTTTTTGAAGTGAGAGTAAATGATATATATGCCCTCTTTATGCCCGCTGTGTGCTTAGATAAAAAGGATAAAAAACATCCAATAAAAATTCCAGAAAAAAGGAAAATTCGCTCTTTTATAGATAATATATATATAGATAGGTTTTATTAAGTGTACTATAAATGGGACAAATTGGATTGAGTCAGTTATGGGTTGAAGTCAAGTTGAATCATACCCACACTGAACCCGATTATAATTAGATTGGATATTTCTTTTTTTTTTTTTTCTTTTTTCCATTAAAAGAGGTAAAGCATAATTGGATTGGATATAGATCACTCCAATATATTCTGCAACGATCTAATTTTAAATGTACATGCTCATATGTAATTAAAATTTATATTATAACTATTTCTAAAATGGGTTATTCAGTATCGGAATTTGATTTACATTCAATATGAATCCAATGGATAATTTAAGATTAAGATCCAAATATTAATCAATTTCTAGAATTATATACTCATCCCTAACAAAAACTTCACCCGATGATACAAGGGTTTGATTGTGAAATCAGAAAGACATGATAGCATAAAAGCGTACAATCAACCATCCAGTATCATAAAAGTGATAAGAAATTAAGTGATTATTTATCAAATTCAACATTGCAGGGTTAGATCAAAGCCCCTCCCACATCATGTTTTTCTAACAGCATAGATTTTTTCCTAATATAAATTGAAGATTGTCATAAAAATGGTAACCAATCAAATGGTTATTTATGAAATTCGGGTGAGGGGGTGATAGCCCTTTCAGTATCATATTTTTTCGACAGCATAGGTTTTTCTCTAGAGTTTGGGATTTTCTGCCAACAAAAGACGTTCCAATCCTCTACCTAACTTTGATCTAACACCGCACACCGCACACCGCACACCTCACATCTCACATATGAATTATTTATTCATTCGGTTCTCCAGGTTAAGAAAGAAAGAAAGAATTCACTAGTCAGACGGTCGGTAACTTGCTTCTCTTAATTGTTAATCTAGTTTCCATTGCTCACCAGGTACGTCTAATAAACCTCAACCTGGACAAAGAGATAATGCTTCCAGTTGGTTCCGTTTCAACATTCACGTGCACGCCGAACTAAGCAAATCCCGCAGGAGATGGCGCCTTGCTTTCCTGTATATCTTTGCTTCCAAGGCACTGATCCCTCCTCACCTTGCCAAGGAAATTGAAATTATATCTGTGAACAACAAGCAACTCCCTTCAATGTTTCAACACACTGACTCTTACATCCTCGATATACCTGATGCTGACGAAATTCACCAGAGAGCAATACAGCCCATTGACCTACAAAAGCTGAATCAAATTGTAAAGGATAAGAACCTGGACGATTTGAGGGAGCTTGGAGGAGTGCAGGGAGCTGCAGCAACCCTGCAAATCGATTTAGAGTGTGGGATTCGTGGCAATGAAGATGTTATCCGTCGACGTGATGATTTTGGGTCTAACACCTACCAAAAGCCACCACCCAAAGGTTTCGTATATTTTGTGTTGGAAGCTTTCAAAGATAATACCATTCTCATCCTCTTGGTTTGTGCTATACTATCTCTCGGGTTTGGCATCAAGGAAAACGGCCCAAAAGATGGATGGTATGACGGTGGGAGTATCTCTATTGCAATATTTCTGGTGGTGATCGTTTCTGCAGGGAGTAACTTCAGACAATCTAGACAGTTCGAGAAGCTATCAAGCATCAGCAACGACATTCAGGTTGAGGTCATCAGAGACAGTCATCGGCAAAAGATTTCCATCTTCAATATCGTGGTAGGAGATGTTGTATGTTTGAAGATAGGCGATCAAATTCCTGCAGATGGCTTGTTCTTGGATGGCTATTCCTTACAGGTGGATGAGTCAAGCATGACAGGGGAGAGTGACCATGTGGATGTTGATGCCAGTGAGAATCCTTTCCTGTTATCGGGTGCCAAGGTGGTAGATGGGCATGGTCGAATGCTTGTAACTTCTGTTGGGATGCAAACAGAATGGGGCAAGTTGATGAGCTCAATAAACTGTGATTCCAGTGAACGGACACCATTACAAGCTCGCCTGGACAAACTAACTTCTTCTATTGGCAAAATTGGTTTAACAGTGGCTTTCCTTGTACTTGTAGTGTTGCTGGTCCGTTACTTCACAGGAAATACAGAAGACGAGAATGGAAATAAAGAGTTCGATAGCAACAACACAAATGTCGATAAAATTTTTAATGCAATCCTGCGCATTGTTGCTGATTCTGTTACCATTGTGGTTGTCGCTATTCCAGAAGGCTTACCATTGGCTGTCACGCTGACTCTTGCTTATTCCATGAAACAAATGATGGTTGATCAAGCGATGGTTCGAAAACTCTCTGCCTGTGAAACAATGGGCTCGGCCACTACTATCTGCACTGATAAAACAGGCACATTGACCATGAACCAAATGAAAGTGACTGAATTTTGGCTTGGCCTAGAAAAGATGGGAAATGATGCGTTATCCACAATTGCTACGAGTGTTATTGAATTGCTTCACCAAGGAGTTGGTCTGAACACGACTGGTAATGTGTATCGACCTACTTCAGGAGCAATACCTGAGTTCTCTGGTAGTCCAACTGAGAAAGCCATTCTTTCATGGGCTGTCTCGGAACTGAGCATGGATATGGAAGAATTGAAAAAAAATTGTACCATTCTCCATGTTGAATCGTTCAACTCAGAGAAGAAAAGAAGTGGCATTTCAATGAAGAAGAAGGATGAGAAGACGACCCATGTGCATTGGAAGGGGGCTGCTGAGATGATACTAGCAATGTGTTCAAGTTACCATGAGAGTACAGAAGCCATGAAGCCCATGGATGATGACTGTAGGATGAAAATCAGTCAAATAATTCAAGATATGGCAGCCAACAGCCTCCGATGCATTGCTTTTGCCCACAAGAAAATCATAGATGAAGAGTGCAGATACAGTGAAAACAAGAATGCCCAACAACAGTGTCAAGAAGATGGTCTAACGTTGTTGGGACTTGTAGGTATAAAGGACCCATGTAGACCAGGGGTCAAAACAGCCGTGAAAGCTTGTGAAGATGCAGGAGTAAGCATCAAAATGATCACAGGAGACAATATTTTCACTGCAAGAGCAATAGCCATTGAATGTGGGATTCTTAAGACAAATCAAGATATGAATAATGGAGAAATTGTCGAAGGTGTGGAATTTCGAAACTACACAGAGGAGGAGAGAATGTCAAAAGTTGATAAAATCCGGGTAATGGCAAGGTCTTCTCCCTTTGACAAGCTTCTAATGGTACAATGCTTGAAACAAAAAGGTCACGTGGTAGCTGTAACAGGTGATGGAACAAACGATGCACCCGCTTTAAAGGAAGCTGATATTGGGCTTGCAATGGGGATCCAAGGCACTGAAGTAGCTAAAGAAAGTTCTGATATTGTCATCTTAGATGATAACTTTGCTTCTGTGGTTACAGTGGTAAGGTGGGGGAGATGTGTTTATAACAACATTCAAAAATTCATCCAATTCCAACTTACAGTGAATGTTGCTGCTCTTGTGATTAACTTTGTTGCAGCAGTCTCTGCTGGCGAAGTCCCACTAACTGCAGTTCAGTTGTTGTGGGTGAACTTAATTATGGACACACTGGGCGCTCTGGCTCTAGCAACTGAGCGACCTACCAAGGAGCTCATGGAGAAGCCACCAGTAGGTCGGACTGAGCCACTTATAACCAATGTCATGTGGAGGAATCTCATGGCTCAATCTCTATACCAGATAATTATACTTTTGATATTACAGTTCAAAGGCACATATATCTTTAAGGTAAATGAGAAGGTTAAGGACACCCTAATTTTCAATACTTTCGTGCTTTGTCAAATCTTTAACGAGTTCAATGCTAGGAAGCTTGAGAAGAAAAATGTCTTTGAAGGTATATACAAGAATTGGTTGTTTATGGGGATTATTGGAATAACTCTCATTTTTCAGGTGATAATGGTGGAAATTTTAAAAAAGTTTGCAGATACTGAAAGGCTAGATTGGGGGCAATGGGGTGTATGTATTGGAATAGCCTCTATGTCTTGGCCAATTGGTTGGATTTTCAAACACATACCAGTTCCAGATAAACCATTTTTTAGCATTCTCAAGTTGCAGATTTCCAAATTGCTATAGTGGGTAATTTTTCTTCTTTTCATGGTTGCGATGAAGTGAATCTACAATTAGCAAACTCATCCTCAGGATAAGAGTATTGGATTTGAAAATTTTCACCAAAGGGATCATTAGACTACCTTTTACAGTAGGGAGAGCGCAAAAAGGACAATTTGTCTAACTGTAATAAGGTGTGCCTTGGAAAGGTAGATGGTGTTTGGAGATCCAGAGAGTCAAAGACAAAAAACCTGCTACATAAAATGGTTTTGCAGGCTCGAATAAAACCAATTTCCTTTGGCAATCATTCAGAAAGACAGATGGAGTTTGGTGATCCAGAAAGTCAGACAAAAACCCTACTCAGTAAAATGGTTTTGGACCTGAAAGAAAAGTTACTGGAAGTTTGCACATGAAAATCCGAAAATAGGGACTATTTACCTATATATTGTTCATATGACATATCAGGTATGATGTTGTGTTTAGTCACAACTCACAACTTTACCATTTGGGTGGGGAGCTACGCTCTTTCAACTTTTTCTAATTTCTATTCCTTATTCTTGCATAAGAAAAGGCTTATTCAGTTTATCCACATTTTGGATTTCCTAAAAGCATCATAATTAATGTTTTTAGGTTCTAACTTACTTGGATTAAAGAATTTGGGTTCTAAGTTACTTGGATTTGTTTTCTTGCTCCTTAAAAATCATGATTGCTTGCCATGTGGATATGAATTTGCAGACCCTAACATTCTTTACAGTCAGGTGCATTAAAGAGAACAGAATGGTGGAACAGAGTTCATGTAGTTGAGATAAGGCTTAGAAAAAGATGATGATGATGTATGATGATGATAATGAACATCTTTAGTGTATTTTTTTCTTCTTTTCTCTTTTTCTTCTTTTTTTCCTTTTATGAGGCTCTTTGTGGCTCTTGGAAGATAAGTGTGTTTGTCTTCCTCCTGTAAATTTTCTACTGATGATTTAATGAAAGTGTTATTGATCAAAAAAAAAAAAAATGATGATAATGAACATTCTCTGGAGTATGGGATTTACAAGCTAAATTCACCTCTGGTCATTGGTAAAATGATCGATAGATGGATCATGAATGGCTCAAAAGCTGATTTAACTGGATTTTTCAGCTTAGCTCTATATCATGCCTGGGATCAGCCAGCTTTGAGATGAACACCACCACGTCACTCAACTAAAATATATGTTTTCTTTCACCTTTGGAAACCCAATATGGAAAGGGAATATTAAGTCAATCAATTTCCACACCAAAGGAAAGAGGTACTTGGATATTGAGCTTTCTTTCTGTATTTTTTCATTATCCCAGTGTGTGTGGGGGTTTTTGCTTTCTTTATCTTCATTTCCAATTCTTCCTTTTCAATCAAAGGTATTCTTTTCCCAAAAGCAAGTGATGTAATTAATCATCCAGATCTGATATAAAACTTGCAAATGATTAATTCCTTGATCAACTATTGGATGGAAAATTTAGAAGTTGTTCCTTTTGATAGAACAAATGCAGCAAATTAGTTGTTTTCCATCCAATAGTTGATCAAGGGTTTTATTATTTGCAGGTTTCACATCAGAAAGAAGGAAGATAAAGAAAATGGAGACCACACTCAGGTGTTACTACAATATTCAAATAGTTCAAAATGGAATGAGTTTTATCTATCCAGAGAGAACTGCACAGCTTCTCCTAACTGTGGCCAAACCCAAGCCAGAGAGCGTCCATATGAAACTTACCAGTTTACTAGCAAATGTACATGTGCTTTGCACGTAGCCACTTAGATGACAATAATGATGGTAATAATATGTCTTCAAATTTTTCTACAATTTTTTTCATATTTCTGTGTAAAAATAATTTTTATTTATCCTACTTATTTTTTTTAACAATGATGAATCTGTAATATTAGAGATGTGCACAAAATGTTTTGTACGGATTTTCTGTATCTTTTTGTTTTCTTATTTTTTAATTTTTATTATCTAATATGGCATCAAGAGTTGACACATTTGACTAGGTTGAACCATTAACCTGCAACCAAACAAAAAACAATTTTGTTTTTGGGTTAGTTGAAATTTCATATTCTATTTCCATCATCAATAAAAACAATTCTTTTTCATCACACTTATTTTTCTTTAATATGATTAATATAAAATATTAGAGATCTGCCCAATTTTTTAGTTTTTGTAATTATTTTTATTTTAAAATTTTATTATTTAATTATGACATCATTGGTTGACCCATTAGAGCCAAATTGTTGAATTGCTTACCCACCACTTGGATGGAAGAACAATTTCATTTTTAGTTCTGTTAAAAAAATGGGTTTTATATTGTTAAAAGTATTAAATATAAATCTAATTAGTAAAATTTATTGGTGAGGAAAAAAATACTTCAAAAATAGAATTTAATGGAAGAGAATGGGAATTAATAGCTTAAATATAAGGCTAAATGAAAAGGAATTGAATGCGGTGAAAAGTAATACTTCAATTTACACTTTCTGCCCTCATAATTAGAGGAATCAAATTCAATATAGATACATTTTAGTCATGAAGAAAAATTCCACAAACTCATTCATATTTCATATTTTTGATAGTATTAACAAATGTGTATGTGCTTTGCACACGACATTTTTAGATGATAATGGTGATGATAATAATAGTAAGAATATGTTCCCAAATTTTTCTACAACCCTTTTTTTTATATTTCTGTGTATAAAAATAATTCTTATTTATTACACTGATGTTTGTTTATGAAAAAACTATAATATTAGAGATGCACCCAAATGTTTTTGACAAAGCTTTTGTATATTTTTATAATTTTATAATTTTTAATTTTTATTATTTAATTATGACATCGACCATCAACACATTTGATCTAAAAGGTTGAATTGTTGACTTGTCACCAAACCAAAAAATAAAATTCATTTTTGGGTCAGTTTTAAATTGCGTATTTCATTTCCATCATCAAGAAAAATCATTCTTGTTTATCACATTTATTTTCATTTAACATAACCAATATAAAATATTAAAGATGTGCCCAAGTGTATTCTATAAATTTATCTATTTTTATATTTTTGTGGTTATATTTTCTAAATTTTTATTATTTAATTATGACATCAATTGCTAACACATTTCACCCAAAAAGATTGAATTGTTGACTTGCTGCCAAACAAGAAAACAATTTCACTTTTTTGGTCAACTTTAAATTATGTATTTTGATCTCTTGCATCAATTTTAAATTGTTGACCAGCTGCCCAAAATTTCCTGCATTTTTTGTGTAATTTTTGTATTTATTTCTATGTAAAATTTTTTGTTATTTAACTATGACATCATGGGTTGGCCCATACACTCCACATGGATGGAAGAGCAATTTTGTTCCTAGGTTGGTTAAAAAAACATAGGTTTTGTATTGTTAAAAGTATTGAATTAAGATGTCATTAGTAGAACATACTGATGATAAAAAAAATACCTCCAATATAGGATTTAATGAGAGAATGAGAATTAATATCTTAAACATAAGACTTAATGAGAGGAAATTGAATAAAGTGATAAATAATAGCTCAAATGCCCTAGAATCAAAGAGGGACCAAATTCAAAGATAAGGGTATTTTGGGTATATATATAGTGTTTACATATTCAGTAATCTTCTATGCACAATTACATATAAAGTATGGCAAACTTCTTATTCAAAATTTTATAACAGATTCATATCAAACGTGAATCTAATATATTCTTAGCTTTTTTATACCCATATTGGATTTCTTTAATGGGATGTCATACTGAATTCTTCTTTTGTTCTTGAAATTGATCAAGGTGAGCATTAAGAAAAAATTAAAAAGGAAGTACACACAGTCTACTAATTATAGTAATCTCATAGAGAGGGGAAAAACACAAAACACTTCTCTCTCTATTTCTCCCTTTTTTGGTGTTTTTCCCCCTTCTCTCTCTCGAGCTCTCTATTTCCCCTCTTCTATGTTTTCCTCTCTCTCTCTCTCTCTCTCTCTCTTGAGATCTCTCTAGATCTCTCGAGGATCATCCCTTTCTTTCTCTGTTTCTCTCATCTTCTTTTCTTTTCTTTGTTTGCTTTCTTTCTGTGAGCATTCTGACGTCCTAGTTGACCGAGACAGTGCTAGATGGCCGAGATAGTGCTCAAACGATAGTTTCTCTGACGTCCTAGATGGCTGTGATGTGCTCCGACGTCCTGGTTGGTAGTTTCAGTTATCCGACTTTCCGGATGGCAGTTACAGTTTTTCGGCGTTTTCCGGCATTGTGTATGGATGTTTTGTTCTCCGGCTTGTGGCTGGACGTTACAGTTCTCCAACTTTCTTTGGAAGACAGCTTGTAGTTGGTAGTTCTTCAGTGTACTGGATGGCAATTACAGATGATGTATCTTTTGTAGTTTTTTGGTGTAGTTGGACGTTACAGTTCTTGGCTTGTGGCTATGTAACCTCCTCTATCAATTTTCGGTTTGGTTGGTAACTCCTATTGTCAATTTGCTTGCCAGTTATGGTGGTTTGGAGATGTTCTTATCCACTTCTGTTAGTGAAGTTAACTCACCTTGCTCGCCAGTTATGGTGGTTTGTTGTAGAAGTTATTCTGGTTCTCCTAAATTCCATCTATTTGTTTTGTTCTTCTTGAGAATGTATCTCTGGTCTTTATTTGGCCTGATTGGCATCTCTTTGTACCAATCTCTTGAATGAATGAAACATGATTGAAACCTTCAAAAAAAAAAATATTATAGTAATCTCATGGACTCCTCATCAACAATACGCCCAAGAGTGGGATGAATATGGACAAGATGCATTTGACCCAAAAGCTCATGGCCAGGTCGGTTTCATGAAAGCACGTATAATATTAACATTCAAAAAGAACCATAAGACATCAACAAAGAGTTAAACAAGATGTAAGTGCCATAGGTATGCCACATCAATGACTACATATAGCTTCTAAATCCGCATATCAGTTGCGGTAGTTCATGAAAATTGAACATCCTTTAGTTCCCATAGTAAATCAATTGCAACTCAAGAATGTTAACTGGTTCTTTGAACCATCACGCAGGGAGTGATTGTTATTTTATCATTGTTGTCGCTGATCGAACATACAAAACTACCTTGGGTTCTCGAAATGCTATCTATGACTACACCTCCATGAGTTTGCTTCTATTCACACATAAGAAGCTCCATGTATCCACTTACATGGACATTATTTCTTCTTGAACCCACTCACAGGTTGAACTCTAGGAGCGTTCATAACAATAATGATTATAGACAAGGAGGACATTGGGAAGAAAATGAAGTGAAAAATTATGACAAAATGAACCTGCAACATTTTACTACTAGATCCATCGACCCATCCATCTATCTATATCCATATATATATATATATTTTTTTTTTTTTTTCTGTTTTGATGGATTATTTCCTTCTATATATGGTCCAACTAGATCACTAACGTCAAAAGCCTTCTCTGCATTGCTTCTATGTAACTGGTAATTTTCCATTTAAAGCACTAGTTTCCAAATCCTCAGAGAACATACGACGAATAGTTCGTAGACGACCCTATAGCTCTAAAGGTCAAAAGGAATCAACCGGATCACCTTCTGGGACAGAAAACACTTGAAGTGCCATAACAGTGATAACCGTCCCCTTTATATACCCATAAGTGTGCAGCCTTTTTATTTGTTGACCATATAACTGATCCAAAACGGTGAATATGATCATCCAAAACATTGCCGTACTGTTATTATAATAAAAAGTCCGTAGGAGGAGAATAAAAATCAAGCTCACCTGTTAATCAAGTAGATCAGTTGGAAGATAACGATTGAGAACAAGATCGTACAATCTCAAAGGTGAGCTTTACAACGTCCATGTCCAGTACAGGGAAGAGATGATCACCATTAAACCACCACTTACAATAGCAGTTTTCCTTCAATGGAAACGTGATTTAGGATTCCAAGGAAAAGTTAGCAGAGAGCAAGAAATGCAGCAAATGCTTATATGTTTAGCAAGTAAGCGCATCGTAGGAACCAGCTAAAAGAAAATTTTAGACATCTTCTCACCTTAGCATCTCAGCCGATTCCTGATGAAAATCCCCAGTACTCTAAAAATTTATCTTGAATGGCCGTTCTAAATTTTTTAAGCCATGCCGGACTTAAATGAGTAAAATAAACCTATAAAAATTAAAGAGTAAAGACAAGGGCTTAAAACGGATCGGATCGGATTGCAATCCAACAAAGGTCTGTTTGGGATGGATAAACGTGATTTTGTTTTTGATAAATCCAGAAAAAAAAGGCAACACAGAACGGGAGTAGAACGACCCAGAAATCTAAACAACTAATCACACTTAATGGTCTAGGCACAAACGAGCCAGATACATCACTGTGAGCAGTTTGCCGACCAGTTTGCCACAATGTTTCCCTCCGTAGGTGTACCGTAGGGGTGTTTATGGGTTGGGTTGGGTCGGGTCGGTTTAAGTCATTTTCTTCAACCGATTTGATCTAGTCGGTTTACTTATTGATTAAACCGAAATTAACCAACATAAAGGGTCAGTTTGTGTCAGTTTAGTCGGTTTTATATATATTTTAAACTAAAATGTCTATTTATATTTAAGTTTATTTCTTTTTAGTTTTTATGTAAAATCAAAATATATATTTAAATCGATTAGTTTTTGTGCAAAACTGATTTTTTTGTCAATATATATTTAAATTTATACAAATCTGAATTAAATATTGTATCAATATTATATTTGTATTGCTTTTATGTTTTTAGTTTTTATCATAAATAACCAAATTTTTTTTCAAAGTTCAAGCAAAACACATAAAATATATCAACATTTAACATATAAGATAGGGACTAATTAATAATTACTTAAACATATAGGATCGGTTTGGTTCGATTTAGTTTCAGTTTTCGTACATTAAAACCAAAACTGAAATCGAGTTATTGGTTTATTTTCTCATACAATCCAAAACCGACCGGTAGTTTTGAAAAACCGGCCAACTCGGATTGGGTCGGGCCAGTTTGGTCAGTTTGACATTTAATGTGAACACCCCCTAGGTGTAACGATACTCCACTCTGCTTTCAAAACTCTCGACCAATGATCTATAACCCTTAATGATTGATGCCATTCACCATGGGGGATCCATGAGCTTCCTCAGAACAAGTTTAGAGTCGCCCTCTATAATAATATTCTTGTTTGGGAAGTTCAAGGCCATATTATGGGCTTCCCATAATATGTTTTCTCATTCGTGATTTGTAATTTATAAATGCCACGTTTAGATTCAAAGCTTAGCCAAATGCATGTTTTTTCATTTCTAATGGTCTATTTGCATTGAATTTTTTGAAACTATAATAATTATTTTTAGAGGTGTCTTAGAGTTGCTTAGTTTTTCTTGTTTTTGAAATATGAATGTAGATAATGTTGTTCTGAAATCTGAATAAGTGACAATTGACTATTTTAACCCTAAATATGAAATGGCTTGTTTGACTTTTAACAAATTAGTTATTAATTAAGGGCATTAAATGAATATAAAATAATTAAATTAATAACAATATTTTTATTTTTATCACAATACAAGGACATGGGACTGTCAACAAAAAATCCAAGTGAACCCAATAGATGCTATGTACTCAGCTTTAGCACTAGTCCTTACAACATTTTGTTTCTTCTCCATGTAACTAGGTCCCCCCCCCCACTACAACCACCACAATGGTATAGTAACCACTGGTGGACTTTCGATCATCAACTATTCCAACCTAATCAGCATCTATACATACCTTAACTTTTAAATGTCTGTTTCTGGAACAACAAGCAACCCTTGGAAACTTCTTGAAAAACCTGAGAATTCTTTCAACTACTTCTAAGTGTGAAATCTTAGGCATGCATGAACTGGCTAAGAACACCCACAACATAAGCAACGTTCGGTCAAGTCACGGACAGGTACAACAACTTCCCTACAAGTCTCTGGAATTGCTACACATCCTTGATAATCTAACCACCACAATCACCCAGCCTGTGATTTGGATCAATGGGAGAATCAGTTGGTTTCACCCCCAATGTTCCTGAATCTTATAACAGTCTGGAATGTATTTCCACTAACAAATGAAAATTCTCTTTTGTGAGTGAGCAACTTCAATTCCAAGGAAATATTGCAAGGGACCTAGATCTTTCACCTCAAACTAAGTGGCTAGAAACTACTTTGGTTTTTAAATTTCAGTTTTTCATTCATCAATGATCACTATATCATCAACATAGACTATCAATGCTACAATTTTTCCTTCTCCTCTTTTCACAAATAATTTATGATCCGTCTGACACAGTTTGTAGCCAACCCACTACAAAGCTAAATGAAACTTGCTAAACCAAGCCTTTTGTGATTGTTTTGGTCCATACAAGGATTTCTTTAGCTTGCACACTTTCTGCCTACTACCTTAAGCACAAAAGCTTGGGGGTTGCACCATGTACACTTCTTCAATGTCACCATTCAATAAAGCATTTTTTATATCCAACTGATGGAGGTTCCAATCAAGGTTAGCTGCCAAAGAAAAGAGGACTCTAATAGAATTTATCTTAGCAACTTGGGCAAAGGTAATCTACTCCATATACTTAAGTGGACCTTTTGCCACTAATTGGGCTTTATACCTGTCCACTGTTTCATCTGCCCTATGCTTCACTATAAACACCCACTTACACCAAGGCATAGAAAGAGGGTGAACTATTTTCATAGGAAAAAAATGAGAAATAGGGTTCTTAGTAATCAAGACCTAACTCCCTTTCTTTGAGTAATAGGGATATCTAGGTCATCAATAATAGAAGAATGACAATGGGTTCAAACATATCAAAGGGAATAAGGGTATCTGGTTGGAGAGGACCTACCCTCAGTGAATCTGATGATGTTGGTGGTATAGTTTTTGATTGTTCCACAACTCTTGAACCTGGCTGACCCTTACGATGACGAAAGAAGACACGAAATGGAGGAGGGTCAAGAAAATGAGGAAGCTAAGCCTAAACCTGTTTCTCCTCAGCCCTATACTCCCCTTAAGGAAATAGAGAAGAAGGGATTCACTTCCAAAGAAGACACATCCATGGAAACATAATACTTTCTAGAAACATGATCAAAACACTGGTAACCTTTTTGAGAATGATAGCCCAAGAAAAAAAAAAGAATAGTACGAAGATCAAGCTTACCATGAATTAGAGATAAGGGAGCTTTGAGAAATAAGAGCTCATGTGGAGCCTTGTACTTCAACAATTGAGATGGCATTTAGTTAATGAGATTTGCAGCACAAAAAACAACTTCCATCCAAAAACATTTTGGAACATTCATATGAAGCAATAATCCACAAGCAACTTCAAGAAGATGGTGTTTTTTTCTTTCAACCATGTCATTCTACTGGAGTGTTTTGGCACAAGAACTGTAGTGAAGAGATCCGCACAAAGCAAAAAACTTTTGTGAGGTTGCTACAAAAATACTCTTTGGCATTGTCGAATTGGAATATTTGGATTTCTATATGGAATTGGGTGAATTTAATGCATTGGAAATCCTTTACTATTTTGGACATTTCATCTCTAGGTTGCATTGGTAAGTATATCTAGAGTAATCATCAATAAGTGTAATGAAATATTTATAACCAGTCTCAGAAATTAAAGTAACAGGGCCCCAAACATCAAAATAAACAATATGGAAATGAAATTTAGATTTATTATTTCTTGAAGGAAAATGATTTCCACAATGTTTGCTCAACTGACAAGTTTGACATGTGAATTCAAAGACCAACACTGACTTCAACAACTCTGGAAACAAAATTTTTAATGACTCAAATGATAAATGACCCAAACGACTATGCCACAAATATGCTTAACTCTTACTAAATGCCACACTCTGTAACTACAAGACCAACTTTGTTCTCCAGCACGTATACACCATTTACCATACCACCTCTACAAATTATCTTTCTCGAGGCCAAATCTTGTACCTTACAGAAAGAAGGAAAAAAAGTTACTGAGCAGTTTAACAAACTTATAATACTACGAACAAAAAACAAATTTATAGGCAAATTTGCAACATGTAAGACATTAGAAAGGGTAAGGCCAAAGGGAAGGGAAATGGTTTCTTGACCAACTGTGATGGAGAACGAGCCATCAACTATTTTCACCTTATCCCTACCAAATAGAAGATGATAGGACTAAAAGCAATTTGATTTATCAATCCTATGGTTCAAGGCTTCGGAATCTATTATCCAATGAGAGTCTAAAGAATGAGAAGACACATGGAAAGTTGTGGCAAAGTTACCTGATGTAGATGCAAATGAAGTTGATGGTGTAGAACCAGAATCCATCTAACAAAAGGTCCTACCTTATAACTCAAGATGGTCATGGAATGAATTGATGTTGTTTTCCTTTGGATCAAAGCCAAGAGGATGTTCTTAACTCTTGAGCCCATTTAGGCTCCTAGTGGAGATCCCAACAAGTGTCCCTAGTATGCCTAGACCAAGAATCAAAATATCGACACAGGCCGATATGCCATCTTCTCCATTTTTTTTGTTTTTCTCAATCTAATTAAGAGGGGTCAGTTTAAGGCCCATTTACCCCTTGAACCATGGTTTGACCCGAAACACCCAATATAGGGGGATATCAGCCGATACAGCCTAATATGTATCAAAATTTTGAACCTTGGCCTAGAATTCTCTCATCTTTGTCATCCACTTTCTTTTGGAAATCTCCTCTCTTAACAGAACTTCCATCACTTGCATTTGCACCTCATCTAACTACCAAAGCAACTAGTTCCCCCTCAGAAGAATTCATCACATTTCTCCTATTCTCTTTTGACTACACCAAGACATACATTCTTGAACTGAAGGAAGATCTTTCCTAAAACCCACACCCTGATGGATTCATACATAGGATTCAGTCCCAAAAGGAAGAAAAACACTTATTGCTAAGAAACCATAAACTTATAAGCCTTGGCATTTGCATCACATTTCTAGTCCATATTCAAGTAATGATCCAATTCCCTCCAAATAGATGTTAAATCTAAGTAATAAGATGAGTGACTCTGCTCTCCCTATCTACAAGTAGAAGATTCAAACTACAATTAGTATATTTTTGCATAATGACTTTGCTCAGAATATGTGGATTTTTCTTACTCCCAAATTTCACAAGTTGTCTTTGCCCACATAAAACTTTTCCTCACTTGTGGCAACATGGGGACTAAGAGCCACAACACCACTATACTATTTCTTGATTCCACTTATCATGTTCTACACTCTTAGACTTTATTTCCTTAATT